ATAAGTTCTGGTCTGTTGACCAAAATAGGGTTCGGGAATACGGTTATGTGTGAGAAAAGTTATAGCACCCTCATAATGCCCATCCAATAAGCCTTAATTTTATGTTATCCAATAAGCCTTCAAAATTTTGTGTGAGAAAAGTTATAACACCAGCTTAATTTTGTATTATCCAATAAGCCTTAAAAATTTACCAAGTAATTAATTAATTGAAATTATTCCCAATTGACTCTAATACTTTTAGCAAAAAATTAAAAAAATTCCCTCACCTCATGAGTATGCAAGGAGACTATTGTTTCACTTGCAAAGGCTCTATCATCGGATTATTTAATATAAAAAAATTCAAGAAAAAAAATAAGAAAAAGGAATAATGATTCAACTTTTGATATAAATCTTTCCCTTTTAAAAAAAAAAATTCATTGCTTATATACAAGGAAAATTGATATTTTTAACTTTTTCCCAAAAATATCGTTTTTTGAAATTTTATTTTTAAGAAAAATTGATACTTTCAACTTTTTCTTAAAAGCATTTGAAAATTTTATTTTCAAGGGAAATTGATACTTTCAACTTTCCCTAAAATATTTTTGGAAATTTTATTTTTAAGGAAACTATTTTTTCCCAAAAATATTTTTTTGAAAGTTTTGTTTTCAAAGGAAATTGATACTTTCAACTTTCCCTCAAAATGTTTTATGAACTTTTATTTTTCAAAAAAATTAATACTTTCAACTTTTTCTTAAAAATTTTTTTATAAAGTCTTTTTTTTTAGAAAAATTGATACTTTCAATTTTCCCAAAAAATATTTTTTTTTGAAATTTTTATTTAGAAAAATCATTAAAAAATAAAATAAAAAATACCAAGTAATTCTAATCTAATCAATAAATAATAATAATAATATAAAGAAATAATAATGAAAAATAAATGAAAAAAAAAACATAAAAAAACCTGAGAACGGCTCGGCTCGCCTTGGATTCGGCTTGACTTAAGGAAGAAAAACAGCTCGAAGAACAAGACTCGAGAGTGTGCGACTCTACTCGGCTCGTCTCGGGGATGGCTGGCACGCAGGTCGCTAGACCGGGTCGTGCTACTAGTTAGGTTACCCACTTGAAAGCACGCGGATCTTTTAAGAATAGTAAGGCCAAAATGATATTGTTTTCTGAGGGTATAAAATGCCAAATCCGATCTTTTTCACCAGACTGCTCCTCTCTTTTCTCTTTTTTCCCCTTTCTTTTTTCTCCCCCGCTCTCTAGGATTCAAGAACACCGATTGAATCCTTTACTGGATTCTAGGATTTTCGTCGAAATCTGGGTAGGGTCACCGGAATCTGGCTGAAAAGTTGGTTAGTTTTTAAAAGTTGTTGCCGAAAATAGGGTAACTGGCCGGAAAGTTCAATCGATGCCAGAAAAGTCACCAAAAAATTCAAATTTCACCAAAAAATACAATGGAATCTGGAAATTTTTCAAAAATTTTCAAAAAAAAATCGTTAAAAATTCCTAAAATTTTTAAAACTCCTAAAATTGCTTCTAACCCTTCTAAACACCCTTTTTCTTTTCTTTTTGCTCTCTCTCCGTATGTCCCTCGTTTATTTTTTGTAAACCTATTTATAGAGATTGATCAGAAGAGTTTCTGATCAATCTAAACTCTTTCTGGGATTTAGATTCAATCTTTGAATCCAATCCCAACTCTGTCAGTCCCAAATCCATGGCCAGATTCATTCCAATTTATTGATTATTTTTAATTAATCTGATCACTATCTCCTAATTAATCAAATAATAATAATAATAATAATAATAGATAAATAATAAAAAAATATATTAATAGATAAGCATAAAAAATATATATAAATAAAAAATATATATTAATAGATAACTAATAAAAATTATATATAAATAAATAAAATAAAAATACAAATGGGCTTATCCGTTTGGATCAGGCCCAATTGATCCGAGCTTGAACCAAATTGAGTGTCTACAATATATTATTTATGCGTGATATGGTAGTGGGAAGAGACGATCGACTATGGAAAATTCGACCAAACTGTTGAAAGCGATAGTCAATGGTGAAATCGAAATCAATATTAACAAACATTTCATCGATTATAATTTTAGATCCATAGAGAAAATGTATAGGGAAATATGGTGGATTACCTGCGTCAGTCAGCTGAAATAGCTCTACCAGTCATTATCAAGAGGCTAAACCAGATGGAGATTAAGTCTTTCACTTCACATTTGACTGAAAATTATTTCTTCAATATAAGAACAAATATTTTTGTTTCATTTATTGTTGAAATTGCAAACATATATTTTGTAGGACAAGATCTTATCACATATCATTTGTTATACTAAAAAGATTAAATCTGTCTTTTTTTTTTCTTTTCTGATATGTATTATAGCCTAGGAAGTTTATATTTAAGGGGTTTAGATGTTCTGGTTTTGGATTTAGGTTCCTTAGTTATTTGTTTTGGTTGCTATCTTGAGTTTGAATTTGTAAGAGATCTTTCTTTATTGTATCTTTTTTATTTTTAATTAAATTCTACAACAACAACATACTAAGTCTTATATCCTATACTCTGGAGTCAGTTATATGAAAAACTAAATAAAATAATCAGGTTAGGTTATAGTTTGAATCTTCTTACGCTACTCATTTCTATCAATAATCACCTTTTCGTCCAATTCCTTAACCATATCGTTTTTTATTACTTGTATTTATATCTTTCCTAGTTTACCTTTAAATGTTTTGAACTCTCTTAGATCTAGAGATTCAGTTCTCCTAATCGGTGCACTATTAGGCCTAGGTTTTATATATCCAAACCATTGCAAACAGTCCTTCTCGTCTTCTTTTCAATTCAGACTACCCCTAATTTTTCTCAAATCTTTTCATTTTTTATTTTGTCTCTTCTAATCTTACCAAACATCTATCTAAGCATTTTTATCTCCATTACATTCATTTTTTTTCTCATGTTGTTTCTTAATAGCCCAAAACTCAGTTTCATAAAGTAATGCAGGCTTTACAATTATTTTATACAATTTCACTTTCAACTTTAAAGGCATAATGCGATCACACAAAACACTTGATGCACTTCATCACCTAGGCTATTTTGCTTAAATCATATATTTGACATCTGCCTCTATCTCAATATCACTCTGAATAATTGATCCTAAATATCAAAACTGGCTACTCTTTGGTACTCCATCACCATCCAACTTAATGACACTAGTACACACTTTCTTATAATTACTAAACTTACATTTCATATATTTAGTTTTAGATCTACTCAATTTAAAAACTTAAGACTCCAATGTACTCTTTATAATTCTAATTTTGTATTAAGGGCATCACAAGTTTCAGCAACTAAGACTATATTATCGATAAATAACATAAACCATGGTACCTTAACTTAGATATGTCTAGTGGGTTCGTCTATAACTAATGCAAAAAAGAAAGGACTTAGTGCTAAGCCTTGGTAATAGAGAAGCTATATGTCATACCCCCAACCGTCCTCACATTTGTTATCACTTCTTCATACATATCTTTAACTATGTTGATGTACTCTAAAGGGATTCCTTTTTTTATGGAGGCCTACCAAAGCACCTCTTGAAGAACTCTATTGTATGCTTCCTCTAAATCGATAAATGTCACATGTAAATCATTCTTTCTCACCCGAAAACCCTCCAATAAAAGCCTTAAAAGGTGGATCGTCTCTATTATGGAGCATCTTGGCATAAACCCAAATTGGTTTTCAAAAATAGTAGCCTCACATCACAACCTACATTCAATTACTCTCTTCCAAAGTTTTATAGTATTCATAAGTTTTATTCCCCAATAGTTCGAACAATCTTGTGTATCACCTTTATTCTTATATAAAGGCACAAGAGTACTCTTTCTCTATTCTTTTGACATCTTTTGGGCACACCAAATTTTATTGAAAAGATCCATCAACCATATTAACTCTATTTCACCCAAGCATTTCCAAATTTCAATTGGGATTCTATCTAGTCCTATAGTTTTCTTTAATCTCATCATTCTCAAAGCATTTTTAACTACATAAATTTTAATATTACGCTTAAACACACAATTTATATCCTAAGAAAGTATATTCAACTCACCAATATCATTTTTAAAACTGTTATTAAAAATATTATCAAAATAATCTCTCCATCTATTTTTAATTTTTTCATCCTTCACTAAAACTCTTTAGTCCTTGCCTTTGAGGCATATAATGCCATTAAGATCTCTACTCTTCTTATCTCTCATCTTAGCAATTTTGAACAATTCTTTTTCTCCAACTCTTGTTTCTAGTTTTCTATATAACTCCTCATGGATCTACTCTTTAAGTCTTAAATAGCCTTTTTTGTTTACCTTTTTGCTGTCTTATAGTTCTAATAATTCTTGTCATCCCTATCATTCCATTAAATTTTCCAATAAAATTCTAAAAAAATCAAAAAATATATTATTATTCAAAATCTGCTATAATGGGAAAGCAAATAGTATCAAATCAAATGGTATTCGATTAAAAAGGATTACATGTCTAAAATGTGACACCAAAACTACCTGCTTTTATCCCATAACTCTTCTCATCCTTATTATTTCATTAAATTTTTCAATAAAATTCTACAAAAAATCAAAAAATATTTTCTTATTCAAAAGTTGATATAATGTGAAAGCAAATAGTATCAAATCAAATGGTATCCGATTTAAAAGGATTACATGTCTAAAATGTGAAACCCAAACTAATTGGTGTAGTATAAGTCAAATACACGCATTTTGAATCATGTATAAGGAGACTGAAATACTTTGCTAATAGCAGTGAGTCTCAGTTGGGCTAATAGCATAGAAAAGTTTTCCACAAGAAACAGTCAGTCAATGATACAGGTGTTCCTTGGAAATTTCTCATTTGATTGAAACACAGGAAATCTCTGCTATAAAGCGAATACTTTCCAGTGATAACAAAATCTTCATAAGCAAAATATATGTTTTTTAAAGTTTTTCTTTTCTTTTTTTTATAGATTTGCTTGGAGATCGGTGGGGTTATGGGTTCTGTTACAATTACTTTGCTTATGTTGCTATGTCTAGGAACTTCTAAACTTCGCTTTTCCGCCACAAACCACAACATCACTTGCATTCAGAGTGAGAGACAAGCTCTTTTGCGGTTTAAGCAAGATCTCGAAGATCCTTCAAACCGGCTAGCTGCTTGGACCCATGATGGAGATTGTTGCAAATGGGATGGAATTGTCTGTAACAATGAAACTGGCCATGTTATCAAGCTCCAACTTGGGAGTTCTCGGGGTGTGTTTGCATCAAATGCTGAAGCTGAAGCATATGAAAGATCGAAGTTGGGTGGTAAGTTGAATCCTTCTCTGCTAGATTTGAAGTATTTAAGTTACTTGGACCTAAGCGAAAATGGTTTCCGAGAAACTCCAATCCCAACTTGGTTTTGGAACTTGTCTTCCAATCTGTCCTACCTGAATATCTCTCGAAACCAATTCCAAGGTAACATTCCTGATTTACTCACAATGATTCATCCTCCCGTCGTAATTGATCTCAGCTCAAATAATTTCAGTGGCCCACTCCCTCGTCTTTCATCTAATGTGACTGCTGTAGATCTTTCTAACAATTCCATGTCAGGATCTACCTCTCATTTCTTGTGCTACAAAGTGAATGAGCCAATGAAATTGGAAGTTCTCAATCTCGGCAATAATCTTTTATCAGGAGAAATACCTGACTGTTGGAAGATGTTTCCAAGGTTGGTGGCCATAAAATTATGTTACAACAATTTCAGTGGTAAGATTCCAAGTTCCATGGGAACCTTAACTTCTCTTCAATCATTACACATACGCAACAACAGTCTAGTTGGTGAAGTACCCTCTCTAAAAAATTGCGGTGAATTGCTTACTGTTGACTTTGGTGCTAATCAACTTTCCGGAGACATACCACCATGGATGGGAGAAAGGTTATCAAAATTAATCATCTTCAGCCTTCACACAAACAAGTTTAATGGTACCATACCTAAACAACTTTGTAACCTATCATCTCTTCAGATCCTGGACCTTTCCCACAACAAATTATCAGGTGATATTCCGAGCTGTATCAACAATCTCAATGCCATGGCCTCGAGAAATAAATCCGATAACAAGATATTTTATAAAACGTCCAAGGGAAGCTTTTTTGAGGATATATTACTTGTGATGAAAGGAAGGGTGGTGGCTTATAGCACTACCCTTAAACTAGTTAAAACAATGGACCTTTCAGATAACAATTTATCAGGTGAGATCCCTGAGGAGGTGACAAGTCTTGTAGGCCTGCGATCATTGAATTTCTCACATAATCTTTTGCTAGGAACCATTCCTGCCAACATTGGTGCAATGGGATCATTAGAATCTGTTGATTTATCAACAAACAACATTTCTGGTGAAATCCCTCCAAGTATCTCTTACCTCACCTTCTTGAGTCACCTGAACTTGTCCTATAACAAAATTAGTGGGAAAATCCCGACGAGTACTCAGTTACAAAGCTTAAGTGCGTCCAGCTTTCTTGGCACTGAGCTCCATGGACCACCCCTAACTGATAGCTCCAATGCTGTGAAGTTCAGCCCCAGCGCAGGAAAAAACCTTGATGATCCACATGAAGTGAACTGGTCTTTTCTAAGCGTGGAATTGGGATTTTGCTTAGGATTCTTTGGTGTATTGGTCCCTGTTCTGTACTAAAACTATAATTGAACATATGTAGTTGAACTATGACAATTATCATCGCTTAAAGGCCGTAACTGAGTATCAAAGACCCTTTTCTGTATAATTCAAGGGGATAAATAAAATTACTAAACAAGTTATTTTAGTGAAACATCCGACTGATAGACACAAATATAGTTGAAAACAAGCAAGTTACTTGGCACAAGATGATTTGTACTTCGATGGTATCTCCAAATTGATTGGATCAAGTAAATGCTCACATATCTAAAGGTCCGAATGCATTCCACACATTTGGATCATCTGATTGTGCATCCCCTAAAAGTGAATCTGTCTTTGGTCTTGTTTGTTGTTCTCTTGCAAGAGGGAAGTTCCAAAATGAATCAGAATTCCGAAAGAATATGTAAAATGCAACTGCTGATGCCAAAAACAGTCCTAAAAGCAGCAAATAGATCTGCCACTCTGCACTTGAAAATAATAAGATCATCATTCTTGTATCCCTTCACATTGTTCACATAAATGTGTGTGTGTGTGTGTGTGTGTGTGAGAGAGAGAGAGAGAGAGAGAGGAATACCTTTCCAGTCTGCAGGAACACTTAATTTTGTTACCATGGCTCCCCACTGACTAGAAGATGTAAGCACAACCCTGCAACAAAGCAACAATAAGGGAAATCAAGCAGCTGAACCAGGTATTATATAGTCCAGGGTGCCATCTCAAGATGTAAACTCTACACATCTTTGGACTTTGATAGATAAGAAAATTTAGCAGATAAAGATTGTAAATCCATTGCATGGCTAGTTGGTTGAATGTATACTAAGACAATGTTACAAGGTGAAAAGGCCAAAAAGAGGCTAAAATTCAATCACACAGAATAAACAAAAGGTACCCAACCAATTATCAAATGAAATCTTTAAAATTCATGATGAACCATTGTCCAATGGTGTGTGCAATATCTTTAAGGCATGGAGAATGACATGTTTAGGGTTCACACCCATTTTTATGGTCTACAATAAAATGTTTGGTACCAACAAAAAGCTTGTATACAAATGAATACCAACTGTAATTAATTTGATCGATGGCTTCAAACCAAACTAACCCTAACAAAGATAAAAAATAATAATAATAACACTCAAATAAAAAAATAACTAAAAAAGAAACAGCAAAAGGATCAAACCCACTTATTTAATAAAATATACTTCCAACATAAGATACATCAATAGGATCTATAATAACATAGATTGAAAGATTGCCACAAGTTCATTTAGGTAAGTTAAAATTGTGATCCGGAGGGAAGATTAGAGAGTGCCAGCAAAGAAAATGGTGTTTATTGAAGACCCACAAAACACCACAATAATCTAAAAGTGACATCACCTGGAGACTGGCAAAGCAAAATTGATATTTACCCATCTCATGTAGTTGGGAGAATGACAACAAAAGCAGGATTTTAAATTAATTGCTATTCAGAAAATCCATATAAATATGTTATTAGACATAGTAAAAACAAGATAAGCAGATAAGCTTTTAAATAAAATATAGTAACTTTCTGTATCTAAACTACCAAGCAGTTGCAAAAAACAAAAAAAACAAAAAACAACCAAGCAAGCAGAAAACCACATTTGAAGCATCTCTCAGTCATTGCTACGGTAACAACAACCACAGTCACATTTGTTTGATGAGATGCACTCAATCTGGAAAAGGTCAAGGGATCCATGATCTTTTAAGGTTGATCACATGACTACAGCAATCTAGAAACACTATTTGGAAAAACTAAATACCAAATTATTTGCCCTGGCAATGATTAGCCAAAATAGTACTTGTTTCACCGAAACTTACCTTTGACCAGGACAGAACTCTAGTGATGCAATGGATGTACCCAGGTGTAGCCTCTTGCTCCAATGGCTGATCTCCATTTTCTTTACTTCAACCACACAGATGTCTCCATCTTTGCTTCCCCTGATATGAAAACAATCAGACACACTTATCAAATGAACATATATACTGAAAAGTATTATAAATGTAATTAATTCTAGAAAATTTTCCCAAGCATCGTAAACCAGTGCTTGACATGTATAAATCCTGACTACTCCATCCTTCCCACTTTGTCTCCAACTCTTCATCTGTCACTATCCATTCTCTTCATGAGAATACAAACAAGTTAAACAAATACACAGACGATGTATATCAAGTGTCAACACACATTTGCACATGCACACCCATGCACATACACACGATTCACACTTTCTGCTATGATAAATCATGGTAATAAACCATAGAAATAGAGCTCTTAAATATATATATATATATATATATAAAGCTGTTCCCGAGCACACGCAAAATTCTACAGTGAAAAAAAATTACTTGGGAATAAATTTGAAAATTAATACTATAGGAATTTGACATTTTCAAACAGGCAAACCAAATTATACCAAACCAAGCCAAAAGCAACAATTCTGCATTTTGCTAATTTCCAACATGAACCACGATACTAGAAAGCAGAAACCCAAAAGGCAATGCTAAATGCTTACAGAGCAAGGTATTTGCCATCCAGGCTGACGGACATACTGGAAGCAGACTTTCTGAGTAACCTCTTATGTCCAATTTTATTCCACGTGCTTATGTCATAAACTGCAGTAACTGCTTTATCATCTGTCACATTACAGCATTACAGTTTAATAAAAGTAAACTAATAACAGAAGGTAAATTGTTTAATTCAAACAAAAGTATGCATACCCTTCTGAACAGTACAAAACAAAAATGGTTTTGTCCCATCCTTGGAGAACCGACATAATTCGATCTTTTCATCCTACAGAACAGGCATACCAAAAATTTGTCAGAAAGACTAAATTTTGCAGTATTCAACAAAAACTCTTTGGTTAAAGAAATGGTACCGAGTTGCGAGCTAAAGTCATCAAAGGAACACCATCTTCGGCCTTCCATATTCTAGCTGAACCATCAGTAGATGTTGAAGCTAAGAACTCTGAATCTAAGCTGGAATATGACAAACAACCCAGGCCAAATTCAAAAGTTAGGTTGGAAACCAAAAACCATCAAAATAAACCAAATTCAGTTTAAACAACTTAGAAAAATATGTTTTATGATTCACTTTTTTATGAAAAGGCCATAGATGTACAAAAAGATATTCAGGCCACTTTTTAATGGTCATTAAAATTTTTTGAGCAAAGAAGCCTTCTAACAGAATATCTTGTCAACAACATATCTAGAAGAAATCAGAATATCTCATTTTTTCAAAAAGAAATACCTACTTAAATAATTTAACTTTGTATAAAAAATTAAAGGGCAAAAAAGGATTTTCTATACGATTACATACAAATAGGCTCAATTCCTACCTAAAATCCATATCCCGAAAGGATTTATGTGCTCTTACTTCATCTACAATGACGCGCAGGCTTGGCCATTCCAAGATTCTAAGATGCCCATCCTATTGTTGATCAAGATAGCAGTTACCAACATGGAAAAAAAAAACCACACACACACACACACACAAAGTCTTGATTAATTCCAGGTGACTGCTTACCACCCCACCAGTGGCAAATCTGGAACCATCAACACTGAAAGCTAGGCATTTCTGTGGACCAGCGTCTTGGAGAGGAGGTAAATCTTTGACAAACAGCTTTAAATTTGTCTCCTGACCATACAACTCAAACAACCTGCACATCACAAGAAATATCTCGTTCCATAAGAACAATCTGCCTAAGTGTTGTAGGGCAATGGATAATGGAAAGTAATTGTTAGCTGTAATAACCATCAATCTGGAAATGTCAAAACTTCCCCTTGTTTCTCAGACCACAATGCATAATATCATGTGTACTTACATAAATAAATAGATGATAGCCCGCACAATAAATGACTACATGAGAAAGAAAGAAAGAAAGGGAGTATGACCAAACAAATAGATAAAGCAGCATTAGATGGTGAATAACACAGTTACATAAACAAATGACCATGAGACCATTACTTTTCCAAGGATCAAGAAGGTTTAGAGGGATATGTCTCAGGCACAACGGGGTTGAGTCAGGGTAATCTCCTTTCTCCCTAGCTCTTTGTCCTGGTCGTCAAAAGTGCTTTCTAGATTCCTTGATGATTCTGCTAAGAAACAGACCTTTACTTTTGATCCCTATTGTACCAAAGTGGCACTAGCTCACCTTTGTTTTGCAGATGATCTTATAATTTTACCAAGGGTGATATTAATTTTGACTTATTACTATCCAACATATTTTGCAACTCTTCTACTCTATGACAAGGCTTCAAACGAATACTGCCAAGAGTGAGCCCACAAACCTTAAATGGAAAAATCAAGGAAAAAAAAAAAAAAACTGAACATTGTTGATTGAAAAAAATTCCTCAAAACCAAACAGGGAAGCATGAGCCCATGATTTGAAACAACAAAGAGAGCCCAACAAACTGACATCATTGTTAGAAAAGACCAAAAGCAAATATTAATTGAGAAAAGAGAAACCAGTTCTAGTACATTTTTTAAATGCAAAAAAACCTCAGAAGAAGAGCAAGCGTTTAAACCCCCTTCTATCACACAAAACTCTCTGGTTAAAATAGAGAAAATATCCCACTTTTCCATCAAACTGCTCCAAAGAAAAAAAAAACTTTTGCAAGCCATGTGATTACTGTCCTCAAGATCGAAAAATCTCAAACTCCATCACATCTCACTACGACCTTCCTTAAACACTAAAAAGAAAGGAGAGAAAGCAGAGCAAAAGATCCCTGAAACTATACAACGATTCAAGATACAAGGAAATCCCAAGTCACAGATTTAATCAGCAAATTCTCACAATGTTATTCCAAGCACACAACTTGCTTTGGTTTCAATCTCATAAACAGAATAAAAAGTTTCTTATACCTTCAACAAAACGACAGCCTAATGTCCATTAAAAAGTATTTCATAACAATATTAATCAATACTTAAAAAAATTGACTATTCATACATTTCCAAGCTACGGAATAACAGATAAGAATATGCTAAAAAAAGCACCACCACAAAAACAAAAACAAAAAAAAAAAAACTCACTTGCAGCCTCCATTTAGTGGTAGAACAAACAAAATCATCTTCCCCCCACTTTGGGGTGCACGCAATGGTTATTGGATCACCATCACTTTCTTTCAAGCTCCATGGCTACCAAATAACAAATTTAAATATGTAAGTCGATTAACTCCAAATAAATGATATTAAAAAAAAAAAACATAAAAGTGACAGTCACTGTCGTTATAGAAAAGCATTTTTTTTATGAAAAAAAGGAAAAAAACCCAACAATCAAGCTCAGTTAAGTATGAAAAACCCAATTCCATAAATTAAAAAAATTTTCTTTTTTTTATTGTGCACAAGCCCAACAATTTTTGTTATAACGAAAAACGAACTTACCAGTGGAGATGAAGAGAGTGAAATTGTCTTGGGATCAAAAGAGAAAATCTCGATAGCCGAAGAAGAAGAGGAAGAAGAACCGGGTCGGGTCATTGACCGACCCAACACGACCAAGTTGACGTTTTCGGGTCTCCGGATCCATGAACCGCACGTGACGGACCCACCTGCTTCTCCTTCCATTGATGAAGAAACGGAAGCTCAGAAACAAGTCAACGACAGAAAAAAAAAAAAAAAAAAAGGTTGTCTTTTTCTTTTTTTGCTTTTTTTTGTTTCCGGGTTTTCGAAGCTTTAACTATGAGCGGTTGAACAAGATTTTTATAGGCGAACAAGCATACATACAACTAGGATAAAAAATCAAAAATAAAAAAATAAAAAGGAAAATATAAAACAAGGTACAAGTACGATTAGCGAGAGGTACAAGATGAACAAAGAGTGTCTTGTTTATGAATAAAGCTTTATTTTAATTTTTTGGGTGATTATTCGGGTTTTTTTTTTGTTGGTTGTATCGCTTATGAAGAACAAATGGGTGGAATGAATTGATTGAATTTAACTCAGGATATTCGATTATGATTCCGCATAGATGGTGAACAACGCTCTTTTTTTGTTTTTTTTCTTTGGTTGTTCCGTCGAAATTTACAAGTTTTGACATTTAATAATAAAAAATTGTAAGATTAATTTATCATTTTATTTTTTTTAATTTAAGTAAGAAAAATTCAAATTTAACTTGTTGAGAACGTGTAACAAACAAATATTTGAAAAATAAATAAATAAAAAAAATCGAATTTGACTTGTTGAATATGTGCAAAAATAACAATAAAAAGGATCGGGTTGTTTTTAATTGTATATTTTACACGAAGTCATTTTGAATTGAAAAAATTTAAATGGCTTTAAATTCAAACTATTTTGGATTTAAATTATTTTAATTTTAAATTTTTTAGATTTAATACTCTAGTTATTTTAGGATTGAATTAATTAAGTTTTAAAACAAAATAAATTTATTTTTAAATTAATATTTTAGATTTGATTTTAGATTATTTTATGTTTAAATCAATTCATACTTAAATCATGCAAATTTAAATTATTAGATTTTTTTAAAATCAAATTTGACATGATTTGAATTCAAATAAATCTTTTAAATCTCAATCAATTTTGTCAATTCTTATTCGTGAGTATCATATTTTAATTTTTGTTTTATTAGATTTTTAGTTATTATTGTGTAAAAAGCATTTCCTTTCACTTAAACTTTCTTTCAAAATCGAATTTGTTTGATTTAAATTTAAATAGAATTTTTAATCTCAATCAATTTTACTACTCTTACATGTGAGTATCATTTTTTGATTTTTATTTATTTAATTTTAATCAAGCTAAAAATCATGTTCTTCCACTATTTTAAGTTTTAATACATTCTCTCTTACTATAAAAAAAAAATCTCTCTTTCTTATCATAAGTAAATTTTTTGGGGCAGGTGAAGAATTGAGCTATTTGACTTATCACGTGAGATTGAATTTCATTAAGAAAACGTTTGGTTTGGAAGAAAATAATCTTTTTATAAAAATTTTTACCTTTTGTAATTTGATTTTTTGTTTGATTTATAGGAATATGATTATTGGGTTTTTTAAGATTTTGAATAATGTCAAAAAGTGAAAAGTATAGACAATCAAAACATCTCCTTTTTAAGATTTTTTAAGATTTCAAAAGAAAAGTAAAATTTTTTCTCCGTTTGTCCTTAATTATATTTTTAGATTATATAAACAATGTTATTTACTTAAAAAATATAGTAATTTTTTATAAAATATTATAAAAATAATTTTTTCTTAATATATTTTAAATAAAAATCATGCTTTTAACACAGTTCTATTAAAATCTTACAAAAATTATGATTAATAACATAATTTTTATTAAAAAGATGAAAAAAATTAGTTTTTATAATTCAACAAAAACGATATTTGTAAAATAAAAAACATAATCTTTGTTAAAAATATGAAAAAATTATTTTTTTTAAAATTTAACAAATACAACATATTTAAGATAAAAAAACGCAATTTTTCTTAAAAAAACTGTTCTAGGATAAAAACATAATTTTTGTTATAAACAAAAAAAATATTTTTCAGAATTCAATAGAGATGACGTTTCTAAAATAGAAAACGCAGTCTTTATTGAAAAAAACGATGTTTCTAGGGCTCCGTTTGGTAACCATAAAAACGGTTTCATAAAACATTTTCTTCATTTTCATATGTTTGAAAGGAAAAAAAGTAAAGTCAACATAAAATGTTTTTCGGTCAACAAATAATTAAATGAAAAAACACAAAAATTGTCTTCCTTTCTTTTTGGGTGAAAAACAAACCATAAGATAAATTTTGTAAATGCATAGAGCATAGGACTTTTCATTAGGAATGCCATGTGGCGGCTTCATGGTTTACTTTTTTTTTTTTGCTTTCTAATTTTTTTTCTATTTAAAAATATTTAAGCAAAAGAAAGAATAAAAAATGGGTAGGTGAAAGGTTTCTGACATGAACAGCTAACAAAAATCATGTTTTGATATAAAAAAATGTAGTTGAAAAGCTAACAAATATCATAATTTTTGCTTTTGAATGTAGTTGATAATCTATCAAAAATTACTTTTTTATTTCTAAACATAGTTGATAATAAATAAAAAAGTTAAATTTAAAAAATTGTTTAAAATACATTTTCTATGTCAAAAACATAGTTTTTGAATCACAAAACCATGTTTCTTAGAAAATATCTTTGACAACATTTTAATATTGACCTCTCCCAGACCTATCCATATGGCCCTTCTTTATTAATCTATTTTCCTCTTTTTTCTTTCATTTCTTTCCTACTTTTTCCCATACCTACGTGAAAGCTTCTATCACACGAAGTTTTTTTATTTGATAGAAAGAAAAAATGGATAGGGGAAAGTGAGAGACCAATGACTCACCTTTTTTTCTTCTTTCTCGATTTTTTGTTCTTACAATCTTTTTTTTTTTACACTCTTGCTTTTGACTAAAATAAAAAAGTGATTCAAAGAACTTTCATCAAGTATAAACGATTTGCAAAACCAAACTTTTTTTTTGTTCAATTGTTTAACTTTTTTAAATTTTAACAATGAGATTTTTAATTTCTAAAAAAAAAAATTATAGAAGATTTTGCTTGATCTCAACTTGAAATTTTTATTTTTTTCACAGTTATTTTTCTCTTAACTCAATTTTTTATATTCCTCAAAGACTTAATATTTTAGGATTTGGGCTCTAACCAAATCTCAAATTTGTGAGTTTTTAGTGTTTATTTTTTAAAACTTTTTTTCTCTTACTCATTCCCTTTACCTAAACCCATCCAAACCCATGCCTTTAAATTTAATCCCCTCTATTTGACCCCAAACCCTTCAACTTTTCTCTCAAATGCTACCAATATGAGT